AAAAAATTAAAATTAAAATAAATTAAAAAAATTAAAAAATAAAAAATAAAATAAAATAAAATTTAAAACCCAATGCAGATGGATCTTAAACTCAGTATTAAAAAAAAAAACTTCCAGTATTACCACAAACTGCAATTCTTAGGACATGGCCTGAATCTTAATTCTTAAAAACAAAGTAAAGTAAAGTAAAGTAAAGTTAAATTAAATTAAATTAAATTAAATTAAATTAAACGCTACTTGTCCTTTTTTAAGTTGAATGTCTTATGAAGTTCAGAAATAAAATGTTCCTTTGGCAATTAAGTACATAGCAATGAAAACAGCCAAGTTTCCAACATTGGCTAGGCTCGGTTTTGCAAAGCGAAGAGAGGAAATTCGAAGACACTGCAAGTCCTTATGCTAAAGCGTGGGAAAGTTACTACACAAGTTACTAGACAAGTTAAGGGAGATAATGGCCTTGGCCTAAGAGCATTTCCTCAACACGAGTACAGCACGATCTGACTGCACACACGTTTCAGGAACTATGGAGATTTGGTGGTGGAAATCAAATTATTTTCATCCGGACAAAGACGTGTAATAAAGAGCTACATTATTATGTGAATGAGCACAATTTCCTTGAAATACGAGGCTCCTGGGATCTCTCTCAAAAAGATGATTCTGTATGACAGTACATTTTTCTTTTTGATGTTTTTTTCCCTCTTCTTTTGTGCTGCAGATGTAAAACAATGGAGCTTTTGCCGTTCAGAACACGGCCCTGCGGTTATGGATGGAACAGCTGCACAGAAATAATTCATCTATTACGAATGAAGTGGAAATGTGGAATTGCTTCTTTAAAAAGTTATTTTTATTATTTCATGTCATGTAAAGCCAAAAACAAGAACAATATCTCAAAAAATCCTGGAAAAAAAAAATTTATCACCATGTTTTCACAGAAATATTAAGCAGCACAACTGTTTACAACATTGATAATAATAATAAATGTTCCTTGAGCAGCAAATCAGCATATTAGAATGATTTCTGAAGGATCATGTGACACTGAAGACTGGAGCAATGATGCTGAAAATTCACAGGAATAAATTACATTTTAAAACATATTCAAATAGAAAACAGCTATTTTAAATTGCAATTATAGCCTATATCACAATATTACTGTTTTCACTGTATTTCTGATCAAATAAATGTTGTCTACGTGAGCATAAGAAATCTTCAAACATTAAAAAAAATTGTAATAATAATAAACCTCAAACTTTCGAACAGTAATGAAAGTCTATGGGGGTGTTTTTTTTTTGGCAGTGTATCATTCACATCAGTAGGCGGGATGAGTTAAGCCTCTAATAGTGTATTTAGGCTTAGGGGTTTGTGCAAGTAAACAAATTAACAAAACAGATTGGCAGAAACGTTATTAAAAAGTCAGAAAGTGTTTAAACTAAAAATAATGAAAAAATGAAATTCAAGCAGGGATGCTATAAAGCACTGGAATTCCCAAAGTAAACACACGTTTCCTGTGGAAACTGTCTGACCATGGTTGGACCTCTATGTGAAAATCTAGCAGTGCCAACTCATGTTTTGCCTCCAGCACAGTAGCTACTCCAGCATCTTTATTAAAATACTTTCCCTGTTAACCTTTGCAGGTAACATACCAATCTTTGGCATTCACTACAACAAATTCTTACTAAAAGCTGGAGATGTTGGCGTGCTAAAATTCAGTCAGTAGTTGATAATGGGAGGGAAGCTGACACACAGATGGAAATATCTCAGAACGAGCCTATCTGATAAGGTTTTTTTCTGTCCTATCAGAGACTAGCCCGGTCATCTACTGCCATTCACGAGCCCAATGAGGTCACATCCAAAAATAGCATCACAAACTCTACTAAGGAGAAAACAACATGAAATGAGATATTTAAACAAATGCCATGATTAATAAGCAAACTTCTTATTAAACTTCTCAACCTCAGGTTAAATAAAATTTTAATATTTATAATATTATGAACATATTATAAATATTTAAAAACAAATTTTAAAAATAATATTTTTTTATGTTTTTATGTACTATATATATTCACCCTACACAAAAAATGGTGTAGAAACAATTTCCACTCAGAAATTTGCTAGTAAATTACTTTTTAGTTTCATAATTACAAAAAGGAAACAAGTACCATTTAAACAAATGTGAAAACTGAAACAGCGGTAATCCAGTACTCTGTTTAAATGAACTGCATTACTGCATATATATTTTATTTCAGAAGTTGGAAATCTCATCTCTTTACTAATAAATAAAGCATCACACTTCTGCACACTGGACTGGAATAGGAAAAGTTTTTTTTATTAAAAAACACAAGCATCGCCTTCAAAATTAAAATAGCATGTTATAAAAAGCAAACTCAGGACTTCTCACAACCAAGTGCTCAGGGTTTCCAAATAAATTAAGTAATTTTGCTGACTTGCTCAAGTCACATCCCATGACTCTCGTCCAGGGCCCAAAATGTCTGCAAACCTTGTCAAGAGGGACCTTTGCCAGCAAGTTTTCACCCAGAGCAACTCAAGGCCAGATAACAAGCTACTGTGAGACAAGGAGAGTCCTCGTTCCCCCTGCGAGCACATGCCGAAGTGGCTACATCATCTTTATCATCATCGTCCTCCTCGACCCTGAAGACAAGGGGCCTAATTACGCTTCAAACCCTACTGGCTATTGGCCAGGTCAGCAGAATAAAGAGGGGCAACGACAGTCTGCGATGCTGACAGAACGAGAATTGTCCCCTGACTGTGAGAAAGACTTGTCAAGAGTCTCAAGATCTGTGCGTGAACGACAGCAGATATCGGTCGAGAGGAGCTGGCATCATTTCAAACGCCACAAACTGCCCACCAAACTGCTCTTTAGGAAACCGGGCTGTGGGACAATAAAGAGACTTTTGTTCACAGCGGTGACACACAACACTAGCCCACACAGTCATTCAGAGAGACAGCAGACGGACGTAAGGCTGAGTAAGCCTTCTCATAAATTTCACCGAAGTGTTACCCGAAGATAGAAAGCTTTTCTGCACAGGCTCACTTCTTTGAATCAGACTGATAGGTGCTATTTTTGGTCCGCTGACAGCTTTTGAGGAGGCCGGAGATTTATTCTAATCATTCTTAAACAGGTGTGAATTGGCGGAAGACAATGCTAAACGCGCACATACTGACTGAATAACCACCTAACAAAAGAATCTTGTTGAATGTAGGCCTACTGATAACGTCACGGCTGAAGCTTGTAATGGCTTTGAATTGTTTGTAAGAAAGGGACAAAACAAAAACAATATTTAAAGACATTTTGTGAGGTAACTGCATGGGAAGTGTGACATACTGTAGCTGTGGTCTGAGGGGAAACAGTTTTTTATTTGCCACAGGGAATTCACATAAAGACAGATATAACTTCAGTTTCTTGTTTTTCATTTCAAACAATCCCTGCCAGTTTAGCTTCCTTTACAAAAACCACCATGATAACTAAGGTTCCAACCAAAATACCAAACTTATTCTGGTTACTGCTACAATAAAACTATGCTAACCTTATATTAGCCACAGTCACCCAAAACAAATTACAGATTTTTACAATTACAAAAAGATTTGACAACAAATCGCTAGATTTTTACATTTTCTGAAAACAAAGTGAATCTTGTCTATGTGGTTGCTGAAGTGTTTATTTTGTGTTTAAGGAATTTCTATAAGGTTTTCATAAAGTTTAAAGCATTCCTACGCAGTTGCTAAAGTGTGTTGATTGTGTTTAGCAACTTACTATACGATTGTTAAGGTGTTCTTAGTGTTTAGCGCATTGCTATGCAGTTGCTAAAGCATTTCAACTGATTTTAGCAATTTGCTAGCACGGTTGCCATCGTGTTCTTTGTGTTTAACGCATTGCTAGGCTGCTAAAGTGTGTTTATTGTTTTTAGTAAATTGCTATGTGGTATTCTTAATGTTTAGCGCCTTGTTATGCTAAGGTGCCCTGAGGGATTTAGCGCATTGCTACATGGTTGATAAGATGTTCCAAGTGGTTTAACTCATTACTATGCGGTTGCTAAAGTGTTCTGTGTTTTAACAGATTGCTAGGTGATTCTTAAGGTCTTCTGAGCATTTTACCGCATTTGTGGATGCTAAGGTGTTCTTAGTGTTAGCGCATTTCTATGCAGTTGCTAGTGTTCTTAGTGCACTTGCTTACCAAATCAGATAGCATATTTTACCTACAGCAGTATGTAATATATAATAGGCATTTTGGTGGAAATTATGGCCACCATTGTAAATTTTTATATTTGTCACACACAAACACAAGGTTAGTGCATGAAATTCCTCTATTGAAAGTCAACAGGCTAACTGTAGAGTGCAAATGAAAGTGATATTGGATCCCTTCTGAAATATCAAACTGCGACATTTTGTATATTTACCAAGCTTTAATGACAAGAAGGAATACAACTAGGAAAGAACTACAAAATATCAAGTTGAAGAAAACCGAAAATGCTACAGGCTGACCAAACCAGAGAAACCAGGTGAACGAGGAAAAATTCAGACAGAAAGAGAGCGGAAAGTATTAGAGAGACAAAAAAAGGAACTGAAAAGCAGAGACAGTGAGACATCCTTTGTACAGATCATTCCAATAATGGACGAAATGGAATGTAAATCTCCAAAATTCCACAAACTATTAAGAAAAATACTCTGCAAGACAACAAAAACAATCTGAATGGCACCGCACTAGTGGTTTGGAACACACGAAGTCAGATTTTTCAGCATATTCACAATAAATTAGCATTTACTGCATGTTACTTGGCAACAGAAACTACCAGGTTCTGGAGAGGTCATAGATGATTGTTTCATTACAAAAAAAAAAAAAAAAAACTTAAAACCTGCAGAATTCATGTTGCATGCTCTACAGGAGACTCCACTCACAATTACAACTCATTGATTTCAATGGCGAATATGCCCTCTTTATTAAATAAGTAGAAATAAATATAATTATTATTACAAATATTATTTTCAGCAATATGTATTTATTTCAGCTATTTCAGCCTCATACTCCTTCAGTTTTGGATGACTGGCATTTACACCGCATTTATGTAACCTTATGGCTTACACTGTAACCAAAGGAAGCCAGATAGTCGGTTTCATTTGCAAAAACTCTGCGTATTTGGAACAGATCGCTAAATACTTTGGAAATGTTTTATCAACAAATGTTCTTCTGCACTCCAAAGATATCAGACTGCTATCCAATGTCTCTGATTGCCTTGGCCATCCGAAGGCCTCATGTTCTGAGCCAGCGTGGCTGGGTACCCTTGAGAGAAGTTATCACTGCGAGTCAGGAAGGCGGTTTACCTCTGCGGAGGAGTTCATGCAGACTCTCTGCGCTCTGGTTCAGGACGGCCCAGACCTCCTCCTCCTGCAGCGGCCCTCCTCTAACCTGCAGCGCCTCAGCCAGAGACACATGCATGATGCCTGTGGGGTTACAAAACACAGCAATGTTATTCTTACAATCATTATCACTATTCATACATACATCAAGGACATTAACAAGTGTTCTCTGTACATATATGAAGATTTTAAATTCTGCAGAACCTAAAGTCAACCGTTCTTTTTTAAATATATACACTGAAAAAAATATTGAAGCTGTAAATAAAACAAAGGGGGGTGCTTACACTGGAGCATTTATGTATGTATGTATGTATGTATTTATTTATGCAAGTATTTATTTATTTTATATTTTAAATGGGGTTAATTTTGGTTTCATGCTGATTTAAAGGGATAGTTTGTGTCATTTTTTTAAAGGGGTCATATGATGCGATTTCAAGTTTTCCTTTCTCTTTGGAGTGTTACAAGCTGATTGTGCATAGATAAGATCCCTGAAGTTGCAAAGACTAAAGTCTCAAAACCAAAGAGATATTCTTTATCAAAGTTAAGACTCTGCCACGCACCAAATACACAAAATAATGATCTTTAAAAAAGCATCATATGACCCCTTTAATATGTCCATATAGTTTTATTCATTTTTATTTCAGTTTTAGTTATTTTAGTACATCAAGTTAAACTAAATGAAAATGAGAAAAGCAGCCTTAATGACTAGCTGAAATATATATATATTTTAACTAGTGACACGGACAGTGTCCATAGTGTCATTTTGTCGCCTGCCAATGACGTCATAAACGCTCGTTTTGTTTTGTAGGAAACATGGAAACACCAAATACGCTTTAATATGTTGTGCGTTTTAATTATAAAACATTATAAAAGAACTTTCAAATGTATCTAGTATGATAAAACAGCGCTGCTTTTTTTCCCCACATACGCACGACCGGAAGGAGCGGAAGCGGTCGACTGTGGCATAATAAAAGCTCCGCTGCTTTCGAGCCGTGTGTAAAAAAAAAACATTTTAATCGAGGAGTAAATAGCCTGATCCTTGCAGTGCGTCATTTATGTGGTAATTATTGCGGGGCAAATTAATTGTAATCTTAATTTAATAATAAAAGTAACTTCATAATAATAATAGGCTTAATAAAAATCAGAATGTAACAGGCCTACATTAATTGGAAATGCCAAATCCTCTTAATGTTGCCAATAATTTATGTTTTTGACAATATCTCTGGCTATCATCGATATAAGATCATCGTTTTTCGACGCACCCCAGCACGGGGAGGTTATCACGGGGCAGAGAGCACGTTGCCTGTTACGTCGTTTGGGCTGCCTTGTTGAGCGCAGTGGCACTGAGAAAATTATATTGCACACACTTTAAGCTCTTTTATTTTATTTAACGATTAACGAATCGTTCGGTTTGTAATGCGAACAAAGAGTGAAAAATTTAAGGGGGTCTGAATACTTTCCGTACCCACTGTATATATATATATATTTAAAAACTAAACAAAACAAAAGTTTATTTTATGATTTTAGCTTTTAGTTAACTATAATAACCCGGATGAATAACACAATGTTATTGTAAAAAAAACTCCAAAACGACTGTAAAAATGATTTAAACAGCTTTACAGCTCTAATAATACTTTTTTTTTTTACAGATGAATGAATGTAGGAGCTTTTATAAAATTATAAGCATCACATTTGTTTTTTAAAGCCTCAATTTAAATGCCTCACTTTAACTTTGATTCAAAATGGGTTATTGGGTTAATTTTTATTTCATGCTGACTTAAAGGTGTAGTTCACCCAAAAATTACAATTCTGTCATCATTTATTTACGCTCATGTCATTCCAAACCCATTACAAGACATCATATAAAGCAGTAGCATCTCTTCACAAGATCTGAATTAAACCGCTTAAATTAATTTGGATTAATTTCACTTCGCCTTTATGTACTTTTTGGATCGTCTAAGTTTTGGTTACCTAGACTTTGGAGGGACAGAAAGCTCTAAGTTTCATTAAAAATATATTTATGCGCTTCAAAGATGAACAAAATCTTATGGCTTTGGAACAACATGATCTCTTTAAAGAAACAGCAGCACATTTAACTTCTGTAATATGCCATATTTCCAAGGGTAACATAATATTTATTTAGAAATAATGTAGGGTAAGGCTTGATTTTATCCATCAAGATTTTAATGGTTTGTTTGAATGGAAGTAAGCTATAAATACTGGTATATGAATATATATTATATGCATTTGGTGTTGCAGAAATGATATGCTTCACATACAAGAACAGAAATTGATGTAGAAAAAGAATCAATAATAGTGCTTGTGCTCTTCCAGGAAGAGCTGTTCATTCATCCTCTCTCCTGAAGCTTGCATAATGTCATGCTGTGTACATGCTGTTTATCACAGAAAGTTCTCCACAGAATACCACACAACTTAGGTGAGGAGAAACCTGTGATTAATTTAAATTGAAATACAATTCTGAAAAGAAAATAACTCCTGAAATTGTCCAACATTCGCCATAATGTCATAACAAAACAAGCGAAGTCGTTCGTGTCCCGTCAGGTCTAATTGTCAGGGTGGAGTCAGTTACACTCCTTGCAGTGAAATTGTTCATTATTACGTCCAAACCTCTGCACTGCTGCCACAGCTGTAGTTACAAAGAGCCGTAAACCCCTGGAAATCCCAGCATGCTGTGAGGAGAGAGAGACAGGGGAAGCTCAGAGTTTAAGGGATTACTTTTGAGCAAGCATTACATGGGGCTACTTATGAATACTTATGTGTCACATTTCAATTGAACTGTGGAGTCAGACTTTTCAGTTTTAAATATTATATATTATAAAGCCCCCCCCCCAAAAAAAACCTGTAAAAAGGTTCTTTAAAAAAAAATAATAATAATGTGACCACGAAAAAGGGGGGCTGCTTTTAGCATTTACAAGCAGAGATTATTTTTAAAAGCACTAAATCTCATTTTTCAGCGACCAAAACCCATCAAGAATGCACTAAAACAAAGACGTGGCAATCAGCTTCCATCTAAGATACTCAAGGCCCCAGCAGCGAGAGCAGGTCATTCCACATAAGAGAGAAAGCGCCACAGATAAGCGCATATTTATGCAGGAATGCTCACTGGGGATGAGAGACTCTGAAAGAGGGATATGAGGGGAGGAAAGTGAGCTCCAGACCCCTCCCATACGCCTCATTAGCCCTTACTGTGGGGGGCTGTCGTATGCAGATTGTTTTCCTCTGCTTTTGTTATTCCAGCGCAGGCAGCGAGTGGAATGTTTGCCCCGTCTCTCAGGGTGCTGTGGAGCACTGGGTCATTCCCACCGGTACGCTCAGCCACAGGGGAACAGGACAGGACAAGTGTGAGAATATGGGCTATATTCAGTCCAGTAGAGCAAAGCCAAGGTCATGGGTTCGATTCCCAGGGAATGCATGAACTGATCAAATGCAACAACAGTCACTCTGGATAAAAAGTTTCAGCCAAATGCACAAAATCCGGAATAGGAAACTACCTAAGCTGTACTGAGCACTTTGCACAGCATGCAAATTTTCAGTTTGCATTGAATACTCGCATGACAAGGAATACTTGAATTTGAGTTCACTTTAAAGAAATACTTCTGGTTTAGTACAGGTTCAGCTCAATTGACAACACTTGTGGCATAATGTGGATTACCACAAAAAAGAACTTCCGCTTGTCCCTTATTTTCTTAAAAAAAAAAAAATTTACAATAGAAGAGAAACATTAAAATACACAATGAAAATACAAAGTGTTTCAAAAGCATAGCCACAAGATGAAAACAATATTCATGTAGGGCTGGGCGATAATTCGATAACGATAATTATCGCGATATCATTTTCCTCGATAAAACGATATGAAGAGTTCGATAAATTTTCGATATAATGTTTAGCGGCGACTCATTTGAATCGCGCCACACGGACCGTTTATCCGCTTGAATCAAAGTTCAAACTGCCGCGCAGCGCAGCTCACTAGGGCAGATGTGTTTACGCGGTCAAGTGAGCATTAAGCAGCGCTGTGAGATCCAGTGTGAAGCGCTTGTATTCAGCGATGAACACAAATGACTCGGTGATTTAAACTAGTTTAAAGTCAAAAAGCAGAAACACTGTGTGCAACGAGACAGTCAGAAGGCTTTTCAATCTACACATCGCCATCATTTACCATGGTTTTACTGTAGTAACACTCACTGCACCATGGTGTTGTGGTAGAAATGTGGGATATTCACACTGAATTTTATTACAGGAGTAATGGTATATAATTATAGTATGTATTTGTGATTAAGCTATAGCATGTGTGCATTTATACTGAATGTTTTTAGACTACTGTTTTTCATACAAATAGGCTACCTAAAAACCATAGTTATATTTTTACCATGGTATTGAGGTGCTATAGGCTATGTGTGGTTTTTACTGTGTTTATCGTGATTTAAATGTATGCTACTGTGGGAGACCAATGCTTAATTTAAAAAAAAAAAATCTTGGTCAGAATAAATGTAACCATATAAATCTGAGGTTTTTTACAGATGTTACTGATTTTGATAATGAACAAAAAATGACATTTATCGTGATAATTATCGATATCGACTGATATGAAAAAAATTATTGTGATAATGTTTTTGGCCATATCGGCCAGCCCTATATTCATGTGAACCAATGTTATTTTAATATCACTGACACACTAATATAGTTTAATATAATATTTTAATATTGTTAATTAACATTTTTGTTTTTATATTTTGTTTTCATTTTAGTTTTAGTTTTAGTAATTTAGTTGCATGTTTTTGTCTTTGTTTTGTTTTGTTTTTAATGTCTATATAGTTTTATTAAGTTTTATTTCAGTTTTAGCCTAGTTATTTTAGTACATCAAGTTGAAATGAAAATGTGAAATCTTAACGACACATCTCAACAACCTGAAATATTTTATATATTTTTTAATATACATTTAATATATTTCAGGTAAAGCTTTTGTTTATTTTATGATTTTAGCTTTTAGTTTTAGTTAACTATAAAAATCCTAAAGAATAACACAATGCTATTGTTAAAAAAAAATGCTCCACAAAATTGGTCTC